TAATGTATTGTAAAATATGAGAATGGGTTGTTAAAAAAATGTTGCGTAATAATTTTCATTGAGAAAGAAGAAATTTGAAAGTTATGTTATTGCGTGGATGTGGTTCATTTGCACTTATTATAGGAGCGGAATTTTCGATTGCAATGTCGCTACGCTCTGATTATTCTTCGAATATCAAGTTCATAGTTGTTTATATAATAATTTATTTTATATAAACATCGTTGCTATAATTGTTTAGTTCTGCATGTTTGATTGTTATAAATTTCAAATATTAAATTTTAATTAATCGTAGCTCAAGAATTAATTGAGATATAAGAATGAAATAAAGAACATTTTGAAGCAAATTTAATAAAGATTTAATGTGCCATAAATAATTTCTTATTTTCCATAAACATCGTTGTTATGGTTTTTTGAACCCAACTTTAATTGTTTAAAAATGTTTAAGAATTTTAAAACATCGTATCTCGAGAATGAACTGAGATATAACAATGAAATAAAGAACGTTTTGAAGCAAATTTAATGAAGATTTGATGTATCATAAATAATCTCTTATTTTACATAAACATCGTTGTTATGATTTTTTGAACCCAACTCTGTTTGGTTGTTAGAGATTTGAAATGAAGAATTTTAAAACATCGTATCTCGAGAACGAATTGAGATATAATAATGAAATAAAGAACATTTTGAAGCAAATTTAATGAAGATTCAATGTTCTATAAATAATTTCTTATTTTACAAAAACATCGTTATTATGATTTTTTTTTAACCTAACACCGTGTGGTTGTTGGAGATTTGAAATGTAGAAATATAAAAAATCGTATCTCGAGAACAAACTGAGATATAACAATAAAATAAAGAACGTTTTGAAGCAAATTTAATGAAGATTTTATGTAACTTAAACAATTGCTTATTTTCCATAAACATCGTTGCTATGATTTTTTGAACCTAACTCTGATTGCTTGGTTGTTACAGATTTGAAATGCAGAACTTTAAAAAGTCGTATCTCGAAAACGAACTGAGATATAACAATGAAATAAAGAACGTTTTAAAGCAAATTTATTGAATATTTAATGAGCCATAAATAATTTCTTATTTTCTATAAACATCGTTGCTATGATTTTTTGAATCTAACCCTGATTGTTTGGTTGTTGGAGATTTGAAATGAAGAATTTTAAAACATCGCATCTCGAGAACGAATTGAGATATAATAATGAAATAAAGAACGTTTTGAAGCAAATTTAATGAAGATTTGATGTGCCATAAATAATTTCTTATTTTCCATAAACATCGTTGCTATGATTTTTTGAATTCAACTCTGTTTGGTTTTTAGAGATTTGAAATGAAGAATTTTAAATCATCGTATCTCGAGAACGAACTAAGATATAACAATGAAATAAAGAACATTTTGAAGCAAATGTAATGAAGATTTGATGTGCCATAAATAATTTCTTATTTTCCATAAACATCGTTGTTATGGTTTTTTGAACCCAATTTTAATTGTTTGGTTGTTAGAGATTTGAAATGAAGAATTTTAAAACATCGTATCTCGAGAACGAACTAAGATATAACAATGTAATAAAGAACGTTGTGAAGCAAATTTAATGAAGATTTAATGTGAAATAAATAATTTCTTATTTTCCATAAACATCGTTTTTATGATTATTTGAACCCAACCCTGATTATTTGAGATTTAAAATACAGAACTTTAAAAAGTCGTATCTCGAGAACGAACTGAGATATAACAATGATATAAAGGACGTTTTGAAGCAAATTTAATGAATATTTGATGTACCATAAATAATTTCTTATTTTACGTAAACGTCGTTGCAACGATTTTTTAAAGCCCACCCTGCAAGTTTCTTATAGATTTTAAATACATAACTTTAAAAAATCGTATCTCAAGAACGCATTGAGATATCGCAATGAAATAAGGAACATTTTAGAGCAAATTTAATGAAGATTTAATGTCTCATAAATAATTTCTTATTTTCCATAAACATCGTTGTTATGATTGTTTGAACCTACCTTTGATTATTTGGTTCTTCGAGATTTGAAATGCAGAAATTTAAATAATCGTATCTCGAGAACAAATTAAGATATAACAATGAAATAAAGAACATTTTACAGCAAATTTAATGAAGATTTAGTACGCCATAAATAATTTCTTATTTCCCATAAACATCGTTGCTATGATTTTTTAATCCAATTTGCATGATTGGAGCAGATTTAAACAAATAATTTTTAAAAATCGTATCTCAAGAACTAACTAAGATATCATCATGAAATAAGCAACATATTAAAGCAAATTTAATGAAGATTTAATGCACCATACATAATCTCTTATTTTCCATAAACATCGTTGTTATGATTTTTTTTAGCCCCATCTCTGCAAGTTTGTTTGTTATAGATTTAAAACCCATAATTTTAAAATACCGTATCTCGAGAACGAATTGAGATATAACAATGAAATAAGGAACATTTTATAGCAAATTTAATGAAGATTTAGTATGCCATAAATAATTTCTTATTTCCCATGAACATCGTTGTTATGATTCTTTAATCCAATTTGCATAATTGTAGTAGTTTTAAATACATAATTTTAAAAAATTGGTATTTTAAGAACTAATTGAGATATCATCATGAAGTAAGAAACATTTTAAAGCAAATTTAATAAAGATTTAACACACCATACATAAATGCAATAAATATCGCAGCAAATTTAATGAAGATTTAGTATCCCATAAATAATTTCTTATTTTCCAGAAACATCGTTGTTATGATTTTTTAACCCCATCTCTACATGTTTGATTGTTATAGATTTAATATAAATAAAAAAAGGTGTATCTCTAGAACGAATTGAGATATCATCATGAAATAAAAAGCGTCTTAAAGCGCATTTAATGAAGATGTTGTGTACCATAAATAATTTCTTATTGTCTATAAACATCGTAGTTATGATTTTTTAATCTAATCTCTGTATTTGTGACTTACAATTGTATCCATACAAAATTTTTAAATAAGTTGTAATAGTTCATGTTACAGTTATTATGAAGTAACGTTGATGACACATTACGTTCAACGATTTTAACCTAATAATCTAGAATTTTCCAGACTTGTGACTGAAAAGCCACCCACATTCGTTCTTGCGTAATATAATTCTCTTTTAACCGAATAAACTATGAAGAAAAAAGAAAGTGAGCAGCTCGTCAAAAAACGATTAAGGTCTTGTTTAACATGGAAACGCTATCAGTAACAACCGGTCTCTAACGTGCAAAGACCCAATAACATCTGCACCGAAACAATTCTGAATGAAAGAAACCCACAAACGGTTGACTTAAAGCATAAAAATAAAACTGAGAAGTAAAAGTGTTGGTCGTTTTGTTTTGGACCGTTAGAAGTATTTTAACGACGGCGCCCGCTGCTTGCATTTCTATTGCTCTTAATAACGTTTTCGAAATTTAACGAAGCGGTTTGCACACACACAATGGTTTCGATTTTTTTCAGTGGTAAATTATATTGTATATGCAAACATCGTTGATTTTAAGCAAGTTTTAAGCAATACAAGTTTGTTTAGTAATAGATGAGTAAGTAATAGAAATTTCAGTGCCATACAACTGCTGCATAACTTATAAGGCATCTTAAATCGTGTTCTCTCGATTATTGCAGTTTAAGAATAATAAGGCACAAAAAGTTAAAAATTTAACTCGATTTCCATCATGAACTGGTTTGGATCGAGGAATTGGAGTGTGAAATCGTGCAATGGTCGGTAATTAACACTTTTTGCGTTACATGATCGAAGGCATTCTGAATTTTATTTTGATTATATAATACAAATTTCTCCTATCTATTTAGTACAAATAATAATTATAGTTGTAATAGGTTGTTAAAAAAATGTTGCCAAAAAAAAAAAAAAAACAAAATGAGTCCGTGTATAGTTTGTATACCGGATTTGAGTCGCGGTTCTTGGAGTGAAAGGAGAGATAACACCAGATAAAAAACACGACAACGACGACTTTTACCGGAGGAAGTTTCCGGTTTTATTGGCGGCGTCCGAACCGACGGAAATGGGTCCCGGGGCGATCGCTAAAACCTGCCTCGCGTTTTGTAACGGCTCCGATCTGGTTCGAAACCGCGCCCAGGTCCACTTCAGGTGCAGCTCTAAAATGTAAGCAAAACGAAAAAATAAAAATAAAAATGGTAACGAATCAGTCGATGGTATGTTTTCGGAACGCATTCATCAATCTACAGTTAGTTCAATTGAAAATTGTACCATTTAAATTTTTTTCAAAATGATCATCAGATTTATCAGTGTTAAATATTTTCTGTATACAGGGTGTCTCACGTAACTGGTTCGGTTGGGATTTTATGTCTGATTTTGATTAATTTTCCAATATCAGAAAAACTACAATAAATAGGTATAGGAATGTTTATAGATAATTTGTAGAGAATTAAATTCCCTTTCTGATAGGGTAAAGAAATATGGGGTGTTCCATTTAAAATTTTCGACTTTCTCGCAATTGAATATTGAGAAACGATAATTCAATTTTTGACCAGCCTGTATAAGATTCTCTGATACAACAAATGACAATCTATTTGGCAGCATCTGTAGAGTAGTCGTGCCAATGCAGAGCTTTTTTGAATGATCGTTAGCTGAGATATGGGCTTTTAAAGACCATGGTGAAATTTGTCAAAAAACACTTAAAATCAAAATAACTCGAAAACAAAAAACGCTAGGTACCAACAACTTTTATCAAAGTCAACATATTTTTTTACGTATAATTGAAAGGTGTAATAAAAACTATAGCATTCCATTTAAAATAACGAAGTTGTGGTCTATTTCCGGTAGACCNTAAACATTGATTATGGAACTGGATTAGGTATTTGTAAAATAAATATATATGCATCTTATTTTCTTGTAGCAGAAAATGTCAAAAAGTTGCGCCATTAGTGGATGCTTACAAAGGTATGGAAGTTTCTACCGATTTCCAAACCTACAAATGTATCCAGAAATATATCAAAGATGGGTTTTATGTTGTGTGCGAGAAAACCTGCTTCAGTGTGAACACTTGAGGGTTTATAATAATTTTCGAGTTTGTGATAAGCCTTTTCGACGAGAGGATGTTGGACGCAACAACAAATTGTTGAAAGGAGTAGTACCATCATTAAATTTGCCAGTATGTGTATAAAATTATCAAAATGTTGTTAGGACTGAGGCATTTTTTTTTCACATGTAGGATATCAGTACTTAGAAGTCACTACTTCAAGTGCTTCGAATAACACGCCCACTACTCCACATGCAGATATGGGACTTTAGGTTGCTTCAACATCCACCAGTGCAATCTCATTGGAGACTTCAGGTAAGAAATTATGTGTTTTATAAATCGTTTATTTTGAAAAGCTCTGGTTAAATTACCTATAATGGCATATAACTCTTAATAAGAGTTATTTATTAATAAACGAAATATCATTCAAAAAACGTTTAATTTCCCTTTTATTACAAAAGAATGTAGTATAATTTTTTTAAAGTTTGATTTCATATTACAGGGTAACCCCGCTTAAAGGGGAAACAGCGTTAGTCAGGATCATTATTGGATATTTTTTGACAGCTAAACAGTTTATTGGAGGAAGTTGGTGTCCACAAACAAGACGACTTATCACCAAAAGCCCAACATTTATACAGGAAAGCAGTGATGTATAAGAGGAAATTCCAGCGCCAGAGTATAACATCCTAAACATCTTTTAAAAGATGTTAGAAGAAAACAGTAGAAAAACAAATTGACGAAACGACTACTTAAATCCTAAAATATTTATTAATTTAAACTACCAAGATAAAGTAGATATCTACATAATATAACGCAATATAACGCCATCTATCCCGTCGGCCCGATACTAAAAATGACGTCACTTTGTACGAACACGACGTTAATAAGTGCCAGGGGTATGAGAAAGAGTGTGCTTCCTGTTGTCTAAAGAAACACACACATTTTTTTTTTGCTCTGCTGAAAATTAATTAAATCAACGTGTCAACGAGTTATAGTTATTTATGTACCAAGTCGGCAAAGTGATGCTTTATCGAACGAGTCTGAGTTTGCAAGTCGAGCGAGCGAAGCGAGCGAGGCGAGTAACAGGCGAGTTCGATAAAGACACTTTGCTGACGTGTTGTATACAACATTTTATCGCCAACCGCAAAATTTAACGATATGAAGATATTCTAACTTACCAATATTATGACATGTGTCAAACGATTTGTTTTGTTAATATACCTCGGTAAAGTTACACTATGTATCAAAGGTCGGTAGTATAGTGGAGAGGGAAGTGCGCTTTCATACAGAAGGTACCGGGTTGAAATCCAGCTGTTCAACGGCATTTTTTTCAAATTGACAGCAATTAGCGGCAGG